AACTGCACACCAATAAACAAGCATAAGGAAAGCAAATCTCCTCGTCAACCACCGGCTCCTGTCAACAAACGTTTTCAGAGCGCGATTTAAAGCGACTATGCTCGCGCAAACACATGTCCTCTTCCAATGGGGGATTTTCAAAGGCCCCCTGTCAAGCACGGCCGGGCTATCAAAAAGAAAATTAATATATATCAAAAAGAAAATTTCTATATCCTACCAAGAATTTAATTTGTATCAAAAACAAAATATCTCTCACAAAGAGCTGCGCCTGCCACTGCAAACCGCCTTGGCAGCGCTGCGCGATGTGAATCTGGATGTGCAGATTTCGTGGCGCGGGCAGCACTTTGAGCATCTCCAGTAGCAGATTTCGTGGCAGGAGCAGCACTTTGTGCACTGGAACTGCAGTTTTCGTGGCGGGCGCAGCACTTTGAGCACCTCCAGTAGCAGGTTTCGTGGCAGGAGCGGCACTTTGCACATTGGAAGTGCAGATTTCGTGGCAGGCACAGCGCTTTGAGCACCTCCATGCAGCAGGTTTCGTGGCAGGAGCGGAACTTTGTACGCAGCACTTTGAGCACCTTCAGTTGCAGGGCTCGTGGCAGGCGCAGCATTTTGCGCACTGGAACTGCAGATTTCATGGCAGGTGCAGCACTTCGTGAACCTCGAAGTGCAGATTGCTTGAACTTCTGTCCAGAAGCGCAGACTTCGTGGCAAGCGCAGCGATTGCGAACCTTGTAGTGCAGTTTGCGTGGCGTTTGTAGAATTCTATGGATCTGAAGACCTGTGAAAAGAGCTCTTGATATCTCTGGATCTGAACATCTTTCTACACCCTCTGCAAGTATAGACCCCTAGAACTTAGATTTCACCACCTCCCTGGATCTCAAGACTCAAAACCTCTAAACCTCCATCTTTAGGTCTGTCGTTTTCTAGACCTCCAAACCTGGAGATCCGTCTGGATCTCCAGGCCTCTGGATCTTTGTAGATGTAGACCTCTCTGCATCTCAACCGTGATCTCTCTGAATTTCACGATGGCTCACAAAACCACAAGACCTGTGGATGGCTCACAAAAGGTCTGCTATGTTGGAATGGCACCTTCCTCCTCCAAAGTTTATGCTGACGACAGGTCTGCTCCTGTAAATTTTGCCCTCGCGTGGCTCACAAAAGGTCTACTGCTCCTCTAAATTTTGCTCGCAAAAGGTCTGCTACCTTGGCGTGGCACCTAGAGTTTATCCCCGGGTGGCTCACAAAAGGCCTGCTACGTCGGAATAGCAAGTTCTACCCTCGCGTTGCTCACAAAACAAAGGCCTGCTACGTTGGAATATCAACTTCTTCCTCTAAGTTTTAACCTCGCAAGGCTAACAAAAGGTCTGCAACGTTGGAATGGCTCCTTCCTCTTCAAAATTTTGCCCTCAGGTGGCTCACAAAAGGTTTGCTACCTTGGAATGGCACTTTCTTCGTCTAAATTTTACCGTCAGGGTGGCTCACAAAAAAAGGTGTGCTACGTCTGGCAATAAAAGGTCTGCTACGGTGCTTCACAGGATGTATGACCAGATTTCCAAATCACCTTTAACGCGTCTTGCCTCGAAAGTACAGACCCAAGGACCCGAAGACCAGGACGAAGGACCAAACGACCAGAGGACCAAGGGACCAGAGGACCAAGGGACCAGAGGACCAAGGGACCAGAGGGACCAAGGGACCAGACCAAGGGACCAAGGGACCAGAGGACCAAGGGACCAAGCGACCAGGGAACCAGCAGACCAGGACCAAAGGAGTAGGGGGAATTATATTTTTGATACGAATTAATGTTTTTTGATAGGAATTAGATTTCTTTTTGATAGGATTCAATTTTCTTTTTGATAGGTATCCCTGTCAAGCACAGCAACATGCAAAAACGCAACGCAAAACGACCGTAATACTACCGGCCAGGTTGACCTTCTCAAAGACGGGTTCCTGCCACAACAACACAACTGCACACCAATAAACAAGCATAAGGAAAGCAAATCTCCTCGTCAACCGCCGGCTCCTCCCAACAAACGTTTGCAATGAATGATTTGTCGCGACTATGCTCGCTCAAACGCATGTCCTCTTCGCTTGGGGGATATTCAAAGGCCCCCTGTCAAGCACAGCAACGTGCAAAAAACGCAACGCAAAACGACCGGAATACTACCGGCCAGGTTGACCTTCTCAAAGACTGGTTCCTGCCACAATAACACAACTGCGCGATCAAGAGAACATGAACAAGGAAAGCGAATCTCCTCGTCAACCGCCGGCACCTGTCAACAAAGCGGAGTCGAAACCACAAGGACCAAGCGGCTAACATAAATTACGCAAGGGCGAGTCCTCTTCGACGGAGGGATCTACAAATGCCACCTGCCAAGTAAAACGAAGACCGACGTCGCAAAAGCACAGTGTTGAGCAGGACAACATGGCCTCCGCGTCAAAGTCCGACATTTGTGCCTCCCAGGGCGCGCCAGGATGGCACTGCAGGTGTCACGACCTTGCGCAAAGACAAAGCGTTGCACCTATACACTCTTTGTTGCGTTCAGAAACTTCTAGCCCATGAAGCCAAGGCGCACCAACCACGACGCCCATCAAAAAATACCTGGGCAAAGGGGCAAGGGCGCGTGACCGAAAAGGCTCAAATCAAAACGAGGTCTTGACTGGGGCAATGCCTGCCAAGGCAAAAACTGTTTGCTGCAAGTATCTAATTACATATAAAAGAATTCCTGCGCCTGCGTCTCCATAGCGAGCACCTGAGGGAAAAAGATTTGCAAATTTAGCGCCCAATGCTTTTGTTTACTGCCTGAATGGTTTCCAAAGGCTTACCTAAGGCCGGCGCCGAGAAAAAGCAAAGACTGAGAAAAGCAGGCCTATGTCTTACACACCGACGCTGCAGAATGCTGCGAACCAAAAATGCACGAATACAAGCACCACTCAGCAGCGCAGTGTCTAGACAAGCACTTGTCAAACTGTAACGGGGCAGCCCCGACCACAACAATCAACTCGTTCCAGACGAATGTAATCTAGACATTCAATCTGCAAGTGTTTGAAGACACGTGTATGAAATTGTCGGACTGACTTAGGGTGAGCATTATCGATCAGAAAAAACGCAAAGTCGAGAGGAACC